ATTAAACTGGAAATCAATGGCAGAAAATATCTGGAATGTAGCCTGATGATTAAAAATTAAACAACCTGCTTTTAAGTGACAAACCAGCCAAAGGAGGAACCAGATGAAAATTAGATAATAGTCTGAAATGAAAGAAAATTAGGATGTATAACATCAAAATTTATGGTGTACAAGTTGGCAGCCCTCACAAGGCAATTTATGGCTTTAGGTGCTCATAGTATTAGATTTAAGCTTTCACCTTAAGAAACTAGAAGAAAAACAAGAAATTAAATGTAATTACACAGAAGAAAGGCAGTAAGGAGAAGAAATCGATTGTATGTGGAAGAAAAAACAGTTGGAAAAAACTACAACAACAACAACAAAAAACACCAAACTGGTTTTGGGGAAAGATCAACAAGATTGATTAAGAACAAAGATAAAGAGCAAACACCAATAATACGAACAGAGGTGTGGAGAGAATAACGGCGAGTATTAGTAATAGCTTTAGATCAATAAGTTTGACAATGAAAATAAATGAATGAAATGTAATGAAAAAGTCCTTGAAAGATACAAATTACTCCCGTTTCCTAAAAATGAAATAGGTAGCCTCAGTAGTCCTACATCAATATGAAAAATTGAATTAATAGGACGCCTGGGTGGCTCAGTGGGTTAAGCCTCTGCCTTCGGCTCAGGTCATGGTCCCAGGGTCCTGGGATTGAGCCCCACATCGGGCTCTCTGCTCAGCGGGGAGCCTGCTTCTCCTTCTCCCTCTGCCTGCTGCTCTGCCTACTTGTTCCCTCTCTCTGTCAAATAAATAAATAAAATCTTTTTTAAAAATTGAATTAATAGACAAAAAGCTCCATGTATAGGAATCTCAAGGTGCAGATGGCTTCATTGGTGAATTCAGTGTTTAAGAAAAACATGTCATCAGTTCTGCGCTAAGTTACAAAACAAACAGAAGAGGAGGAAATACTTCCTAAGTCATTTATTAGGCTAGCACTGCCCCCCAAATAAACAGACGAGGTTATTAGCAGAAAAGAAAACCACAGACTAATTTCCCTCATGAAACAGGCACAAAATCCTCCACAGAGTAGCAAATCCCGTCCAGCAAAGTATAAAAGGCAAATTCATCGCGGCCAAATAGAGTTTATCCAAGGAATGCAAGTTTGCCTCAGCATTTGAACATCAATGAAATGTACCATTTTGACGGACTAGGAAAAGTAGAACAACATAATCATCTCAGTAAATACAGGAAAGGCATTTGAGTTTATTCAACACTCATTATAAAACTCAACATCCATTACAAAAATTCTGAGCAAACTGGAAATAGACAGGAAGGCCTTCATCTGATAACAGATGTCTGCTGAGCACCTGCCGTTAGTCCACCAAATAGTGGGGAGTGAATGCCTTCTCCCTATGATCGGGGGAAAGACGAGGTGCCCACCCTCCTGACTTCTGCTGGGCATTGTGTTAGCGGTTCTCTGGAGTGTAATTAGGCTATAAAAAGAAGCAAACACTCATCCAGTTAGGAAAGGAAGAAAAAGAACTTAGTCACAGAAAATTTGATTACATAGAAAATTCTAAAGAATCTACCAAAAAACTTTAGAGCAATTAATGAAATTAAGCAGGGTTGCAGAAGAGAAGGCTCAGGGTACCAAAATTAACTCTATTTCTGTCCGTTAGCAATAAACAATCGGATATTGAGACATGGATATGTTTTTATGTATACAAAACATCAGTAATACCGAATACTTTAGGGTACACTTAACAAAATATGGGCAAGATCTGTACCCTGGAAACTACAAAGCATTGCTGAGAGAAATTGAAGATTTCTTTTAAAAGCCCTCCTTTGAAGGAGCTTACATTTTAGTGAAGGGAATGGGCACTAGATAAGATAAATAAGTTAAATGTACATTATTATAATAATGATGAAGCCTAGAAAAATCAGGGAAGAGGGTTAGGAAACGTTAGAGGTAGACTATTGGGGTTTCTAGACGTCATGGCCACTAAAGAGAGGCAAGGCCTCACTTAGGAGGTTTTCGAGAAGAAAGCTGACAGGTGACCATCCAGGATGTTTTAGGCAGGAGCAACACCAGGACAAGGACCATAAGGCCAGCCTGTGCCCAGCTTGTTCTGGGAAGGTGTGGACGGTGGCGTGGGTGGGGGGAGGGGCCCAAGGGGCCATACTTGGAGATGGGGACGGAGAGCCGATGGGACCAGGCAGTAGCCCCACTGTTCAGTGGGAACTTTGACTTTCAGTCCACGTGTGCTAGAAGCTGAAGGGGCTGTGAGTGGGGGGCGGGGTGATGATTTCTGTGGTAGAGACGGCTCTGACCCCGGGACTAGAATAGACAGCAGGGGGCAAAGTCAGAGCCTGACACACAGCTGGAGGCTCACTGCAATGGCCCAAGAAGAAGGACCCATGCTTAGACCAGGGTGGGGGCCGGAGTGGGGTAGCTGTTCTGAATAGACTTTGACGGAAGACCCTCAACAGTTTCCGCTAGGCTAGAGACAGAGGAGAAAAGAGAGCTGGGAGCTTGGCCAGAGCGGCTGAGTGGGTGGGGTTGCCATGTCTGAGATGAGGAGGACTGTCCCCGGGGCTGGAGGGAGAGGGGATGGGATTTGAGAGGCTCTGTTTTTATATCCGTTACAATAAGACACCCACTTGACATTCAGTGGAGACCCCTCTGGGGCCGGGGGCAGTGGGATATACATGCCTGAAGCTCAAAGTCAGGTCCAGCCGGGTTCAGGGGGTCTTGGACATGTGGCGATTAAAATCTTCAGCAGGTATCTGCTTTTCACAGCCACGAGCCTGGATGGAATCACCTTGGATGTGATTTCTGATCAAAAAGCAAAGAAACCTGGTAATCAATGTTGGTTACTCCAACATTCAGAGGTCAGGGAAAAGAAGGGAACCAGCCATAGTGCACGAAGAGAAACATTGAGGAGGAGCTAGGAGAAAGTCAGGGTGCATCCCGGAAGCCACGTGGAGACAGGGTTTTGAGGAGGGGAAGGTGCTCAGTGTGCCAAGAGGAGAACTGAGAAGTCATCACGGCATGAAGCCGGTGGTGTCTGGTAACCCTGAGAAGAAGAGTTTGTGTTGAGTGGGGATCAGAACGTGGTAGGAGGGAACTTCAGAGAAGACAGGAGAAAACACAGAGCGTAACTCCCTTCAAGGAGATATGGACGCTCAGTTTTCTAAGGATAGAGTCCGTACTGCCCACAACATGCCCAGTGAGCACGGGAAGTGCCCGTAGCGCGGAGGATTAACTGAGCGCTCTGTGAGCATCATGGTCCGTGCACCAGAGGCTCAGACCCAAGAACACAGACCACTGCTCCCTGCTGCCCGAGAAGGGGAAAGGATGCATTCGTTCATCAGTAGTGACAGTGTCAATTCCAAAAACATTTCTGAAAACCAATTTGACAATATCTATTTGCATTTTTCAAAACAACTTGTAAATCACCGATCGCACCCTTAGATAGCTCTCCCATAAAAAAAAACTGTTCAAAGCTCACACCAACCAGTAAAGAAAGATGGAGGATTTTATTACAACGACACACAGGACAGCCCCTGCTCACCACTCAAAACTGCTGTGTTTACAGACTCGCCCCTGTGCTAAAATGTGTGACATCCAGACCCATGCTTCTGGAGCTTTTGCGGACATTTCCAGGAGTGAGCATAGTGGCAAAAACATTGGCGTTCCAGAGTTCATACTGTGAACACGTGTGTTTTAGTGGGTGTGGCCTTGGTAGTGCCACATTTTCCACGTTTTTGTACTTTTTCTTGGAGATCATGCTGTTTGGAATGGCCCCCGGGGAGAGTGCCAAAGCGCGGGGCAGTGATCCGAAATGCAAGAAGGCTGCGCTGTGTCTTACAGAGAAAACCGTGTTAGATGAGCCGTGTCCAGGCACGAGTCACACGCTGTCCCTGTGAGTTCCGTGTTCATGCATCAAAGGCATATATTCAGAAAGACCCTGTAAACACAAACACGCGTGAGGCGGGCTTCTGCGCTGCTCGGTCGACAAGAGGATTGTGACCAGAGCCTCGCCGAAACCTAGCCCTGTGCTTCCCTGAGGAGCAGTGTGCCTCCGTAGTCTCTAACTCGGAGTCTGTGGACACTGTGCAGAACATAACTACCATGAGTACCAAGAACCTTCTGGAACTACCTTTTAGGAAGGACCGAGTGCGTAAACCAAGGTGTATGCACGGCACAGAGTACGAGGCAGGCTCTGAAGATCGGCAATCCGGGCTGAATGGGTTGTTGCAAGGAAAACCCCAGTGACGGGTGGGTGCGACGCCGTGTCACCTTCCACGGTGGTTACACATCTGTACGTTTGCACCCGGTGGTAGGCTTGTCGGCAGGGTGGCCCGCACCAGGCTGACTGAGGGGGCTCTTCCGAGTGGGCGTGGGGGTCTGCCCAGCAGGGGGAGGGCAGCCAAGGCGGGGAGGGGGACTAAAGGGAAACAGCCTTTTTGATGAGGTCCTGTATGTAAAAATGCTGGTGTGCCATGAAGACATTTGAAGGAAGAGGTCCGGTTCATCGTCTGCACACTGACCAAATTGTGGGTCGGTGTCCATGATGGCTTAAAAGCCAGCTGCAAAGTAACGTGTACAGTGTGATTCTCTTTAATGAACCAGTCTGCTTAGTAAGCTTTTAACCGTACAAAGGAACAAGGGAAACCGTGTTTAAAGATACAGGGAGGATGGGAGCCTTGGTGGGGAAGGGATTCCTGGGTTTCATCTTTACTTCCATTGATTCGTTTCCATAGATAGCGAAAGTATTGCATTGCTGCAACTTGGGGGAGGAAAAATGTGGAAAAGTATCAATTCCCTGAATATTATTTCTCAAAGAAAGGATACTGCCATCTTGAATACACTTTAGCGAGTCAGCTGCATACAGACTTTATTAGCAGGTTTTGAAAACGCCGCCAGCAAGCATGGATTTGCTGCGAGATTCTGAGCTGTGTTATTTATATGTAATGCTGTAAAATCCTTTGTGTGTTTTTTTTTTTCTTTTAGGAATCATTAAGAGCCATCCGATATGAAATATCGCCAGATAAGGAGTACGCTCTGTTTTCATACAATGTGGAGCCAGTAAGTACCGCTTCTGTCTATTTAAAAAAAAAAAAGTTTCTCTCTTTTGAGACCTTATTAAGTATTTTCCCTTGAACCTTCATTCTGAGTGATCTTGGAATCCTGAAAACAGTGGGTGAGTCCTCTTTTTATGCCACACCGCCACCTAGGAGAGAAAGAGAGGTATAAAAATCCCTTTGGCAGGGGCAGAAAAAATAAAATCACTCCTTTTAGGGGCAATTTCATAGGATTTTCCTGAGGGAGAGGGTGAGACGTTGTCTTTTTATAAAGATTTATCTTACCCTTTCGTGCAGTCATTTTTCTTCCCATTTTCTCAATCATACCATAAATTTTACCCTGAGAACAAAAAAGCAACTGCCAGGTTCTCCCTAAGCTCAAATAAAATGTTAATTATCTCCTAGCCATTGTAGTATTCTAGAGAAGACTTGAAATATCACTTTCATTATATAAATCCCTGTTTTTAGCACTTCATCTGTGAGTCTCCCATAACACCGCACCAGGATTTTCCATAAAAATCTCACCCTGGGCTTTAGCGGCAGCCTAAAACTAGCTCTTTTTTTTTTTCTTTTTGTCTTTTAACAGGCTCATATTTTAAAATCCATCTTGGCTCCTTAATTTTAAATGAGCTAGAAGGTGAAATTTATTTGTGTAAGGGAAGCAGATGTTCAGCTTACAAGAGATTAGCAACTTTAGAAATGTGCATTTCTGGAACTTTAGTCTCCAGTAAGTAAGAGAGAGACTTCTACTGCCTTTCATGTTCTTCTGAGACCATTCTGTCCAGAGTTTTGTCACGCTTCTGTGAGCTCTCAGGGGACCTGCATCGTCAACCCAGCCTGAAGAGCGTCCCGGTGGGCTTGAGAGGCTCTTGCCCTGGCAAGAGGAGAGCAAGCTTGTGGCGTCACAGCCCAGGGGAGCTGCTGGCAGGCTGGTTTACGTGGAGATGCGAGTTCAGTCCTAGAATTTTTAGACTTTAAGAGTTACTTGACTACTGGATTATTTATTGGGAACTTTCATTTTTTTTCCATTGAAATGTAGATCTTTAAAAAAAAAAAAAACTCCACCTCCACTTTTCCATTTTCTAATTTTTTTTAATGTCCATTATGTAAAAGTTTTCATGGTTCCCACCCACATCCTGCGGAATCGCTGGTCATCTTTATCTGTTGGATTGGGGATGGTTAGTGGGGTGGATATGGTAAAAGGCAACTTTTAGCCTTGTGATTCTGCATGTCCTATGCCCAGCCCTAGCACTCGCCTCTTTAAAGCTTCCAGCACACGGATTTGTACATGGATCACTGCGTGCTTCTGGTCCTTTCATGGAAACTACCAAAAATATAATCTCTACCCTTGAATAAGAGAAAAAATCAGCAGATCCTTGAAGGACTTTCATGGGGATGAGGTAATGGCTTTGTCCTAGGGTTCTCGGGAAGACACAGCCAACACCCAAGTGAGAAAAGCATAGAAAGACAGATTTCGGGTCCTCTTACTCCAGACCATCTTTTAACAATAGGAGCACCCCTGCGATGGGAGCTTCCTGCTTCTGGAAGCCTTCAGAACAATGTTTAGTTATTTGTTCTCCCAGATCGTCCTCTCCCACGTGCTCCATGGAAGCATGTGGGCCCATCCACGTTCTGTGGTTCTGTGCGTGGTGGACCTCGCCACTTTTCCTTGTCTTTCCCCCACGCTCCTTCTGCAAGAGCGCCCTGGGCTCCCCTTCCAAGTGCTGGCTACTTCGGGGAAGAATTCTTTGCTGAATGTGAGCCTCCACCGTACAGAACACACGCGGGAAACAAGAACCTTGGGAGAACCCTTTCTCTCCATGCAGCGTCCGTTCACCTTCAGAGTAGGATTGCGTCATTTCTTTCCTCAACCGAGGAAAAATAGAAGACATTCAGAGTGGATTTAGTGAACAACAAAAATAATTCGAGTGTGGAAAATGTGCGCGCTACATTAAAAAAAAAAATCTGTCAAAATGGGTACTTGGCAGTTGAATCAAAGCAGCACCCTCCCTGGTTTTCAAGGAGTGAGCCGTTCCCCTCGTACATTAAGCAGGGTTCCGCTCTGCGGGACGCGTTAGCCCTCTAGTAGGGTCTCCGCCAAGGAGACTGGGAGCTGGGTTTCAGGAATCACTGCCTAGCTGGGTAAACCGAGAGGCAGATACTTTTAGAAAAGGGCCCGGGTTGTAAGGGGATGGTCTCGGTCTCTAATAGTGGAGGAAGTAGAACAAAGCAGGACTTCCAACTTCATTTTCAGTGTCAATATGATTATCCCCGGATGTCCTAAAAAAAAAAAGAAAAAAGTCTCATATTCAAATACAGTTAAGAACTCTAGTTTAAGTAAAATTAAGTAAAAAAATTTTCTTTACTGCAGGATGTTTTGAGATTTTTTCATATTCTCAGGAGGGCTGTACAGTGTTCCCCAAGAGGGTATTACAACAAGGGATTCCCATCTAATGGTAAGGGAACTGGAGTTCTGTCTTTGGGACCGTGTTTATCACGATCTTATTTGTCTGTTTCAAAGGCAGCCAGGATACCTTCTTTCTAGGAACTCATTCAACTCTTCGTTGCAAAGACGATCATAAAAAAATATTTTTTGTAGGAACCAACTGTCTAATGACCAGGCATCTCTCCTTTGATAGAATAATGTTTCACGATAGAATAAATGTTTCATGTGCAATAAAACATGTGCAAAACATGCGCAAAAATAAAATATCGGGTCACAGCTTCTCCCCCAAATCCAAATGCCGCACATTGCATTGGGAAAACGTAACCCCTCCGAGCCCGCTTCTCTCTGCTGCCTGCTCACGGCGGACGTGCAAGTGGGATGTCGCCAGGCTCAAGTGCGTATCAGAGCAGAGCCCGGCTTCTCGCCTTAAACGGGGGTCAGTGTGTATCTAGCCATGCTGCCGTGGGGACGATTGTGATAGCACACGGGGGACACTTAGCTGGCAGACACGGGGGCCCCGACGACAGTGTCCCTCGCCAGGGCCTGGACATGGAGTTCTTTCCTCAGGAAGATTCGAGCTTCTTCCAGCCCACGGTGATGCCTCCAGTTACTTTTTTATCAAAAACAAAAACAAAAACAGGCACTTACTGTGTGCAGAAAAGATACGCTATTTGCACCACGGAGCCTGGACCGTAGTCGTGGAAGCGTGCAAACCAGGCCACACAGAACTGCTGAGTTTCCTGAGCATCAGACAAAAGGATTCGGCCCAGTTAGGTAGACCCGGAAAGGCTTCCAGGAGGCGTCGAATCCTCAGCTGGACATGGAGTCCTTGTGGCCTGAAGGTGTGTGGTGGAGAAGAGGTACAGAGAGCCCAGTGAGGCTAGAAGGAAGACGGGGTCCACCCATTGGGTTTGGGGCTGCAGGGAGGGTAGCAGAATCTGGAGCTGTTCACGGGTTTGCTTTTGCTACTGAGTTTCAAGGGACTCTGGGATTTTCATAAGCGTTTACAATTTACAAGTCGGTAACCGGAAAGATGGGTGTGAATTTCCAAAGCAGTGTCTGGAATAGAGAAAATCCTCGAAGTAATTAACTTAAAGGGGGAAAATACAATCATGGGCATGATTGGCGTCGCCCACGGAGACCATGGCGGGGAGGGTATGGAAGTGAAGAAGGCTTGAGACTGGGCCTTGCAGAAATTGGATATGTCGTAAAGATTATCAAGGATGAATCTTCCAGCGAGTAAGAAGAGAGGCTGAGCAGCAGGAGGAAAGGCAACAAAGCATCTTAATCATGTGTGTAACAGAAAGGAAATGCTCCCAAGGGGAGGGAAAGGCCCTCACTGTGGCATCTGGAAGTTGTGGCAGCTCTGGGCTCAGCCCCCAGGCAGGGCTTCCTTCTCTGCAGGTGACCTCTCTCCTCCTTGCGGCCAGAGGTGCCATCCACAAGATGCTGAAGTCCTCTCGGCCGCAGGATGGGTCACCGTCGTGACCAGCTTGCTCTGGATGCCCTTGGACCTTCTGTGGAGCCTTGTGCACTTTGGAAGTCTCCTGGGGGGCTGCAAGAGGGAGCATCGTTCCTCAGCCTCTGTCCTCCATCCCCGAAGGGTGGGCCAACCCAACGAGCACCAGCAAGCTCGAGGGGACGGGCTGGGTAGGGCGGTCCGCACGCAGAGGGGGCCGGGAGAGAATGAGGAACAAGGACAGATGGTCCAGAAGTTTGGATACGGGTAGGGAGGCCATGTCTGGAGGACAAGAAGAGTTGAAGGGAGGATCGTTTAAGGTTAATTTTATCAGAGCAATTGTGTGTGTCTTCCTCTCATTTTTTCAGACGAATGGCAATGTTGGGGTCATTTCCTACTTGTTTGACATTAACTGGTTTTATTTGCCCATTTTTTAAAAGATTTTATTTATTTATTTGACAGACAGAGATCACAAGTAGGCAGAGAGGCAGGCAGAGGGGAGTACAGGGGAAGCAGGCTCCCAGCTGAGCAGAGAGCCTGATGCGGGTCTTGATCCCAGGACCCTGAGATCATGACCTGAGCCGAAGGCAGAAGCTTAACCCACTGAGCCACCCAGGCGCCCTTATTTGCCCATTTTTGCATTGTCAGCTACTCAGAGAAAGACAGTTTTTTTGTTTCGGGTTTTTTGGGTTTTTTTAATCTCCCATCTCCCCCCATCGCTGGCTCGAGATCATCTTCTTGCGTTTGGTGCTCAGGCCGGCTCCCCACACGCAGGCTGGGGCGTTCGGACGCGTCAGAGCAGCAAACAGGCTGAGCCTGGGGCGTCGGGGAGACAGCATGCCCAGCGCTTGTGTCCTAAAGTCAGCCAGGCCTTCCCGGTTGCATTCTGTTTGTGAGAAACACGTCCCTGGGCTCAGCCCTCTCGTGAGGCGAGCGGACTCCGCAGGGAGCAGGTGCGGGCAGTGGGCGTCGTTGGGAGCCCTTCACACGCTGCCCGGCACACCGTGTGTAGGGAAGTATGCTTCCCCCCATCTGTGGGGCCCTAGAAGGTCCTGCATCGTGCTAAAGAACGCAGGACACCTGCGGGGGGATAATCACC